CATTTTACAAATTCTCGGTTATAGCCCTTGAAGCTGTAAATTTCAGAGCGAGAATTTTATAATAAAACCGCCAATTTCAATACCTATTTTATATTTTTTAGTCTATTCAGTCATTTTTATTTGATAAAAATACCTTACAGAATCTTTCTTGATAAAATTCAATGTATTTTATGGGCGAAATACCACATCATCAGCCATCGTATATAATACATCATCTGCCACGACGCGGTGGAATCAGACACTCTTCAATTTTCGGGCATGTGGAGTTATTGGTATTATCTTAAAGGTTATTCATTCGCCCCCAGCTTTTGAGGAAATATGTTCATTTATCTGGAATGAAAGTCACAATTTTTGCGATTGAAGGTGGGGTCGCCTGGTTTCAGAATAAAAATTTGCAAGAAAATGGCCGCCAAAGTTTGGTGACTTCCATAGCTTAAGAGTCTTTGGAAACAGCATATTTGAATTTTTTTGTGCCCCTAATCAGGGTTTTTCAAAGAAATCCGCATATAAAAGTATTTTTGAACGGACATACAAATTGATGAGTCAAAAAACAAAAATTCGAAAAAATGTCCAAACTGGTCGAAAAAAGCAGATTTCTCGGATTTTAATATTTTGACAAGCGCCTGATTTCACCAAGATGCCTCACATATAGCACTGCATGAACTGCTGGGAGTTAAAGGAAGTTGTGTCATCGGGGACAGCTTCTAAAAATAAGCAGAATACATTAAATATATTTTTTTAAAATTACACTAAAAGCAGTCTAAATCTTTAAAGATGAAACAGGAACATGTGCCTGACCAACAGCAGACTAAGGCAACGTTAAGGCACATTTTAAACCATCATGCACAAATCAAAAGCACGACTTTCCACGTTGAACAGAGGGCAAATTTTTGCTTGCCTTTACAGATCCAGATAAAGAAAGTAGAACAGAAAAATCTATGTGGTAAGCAAAGTATATTGCATCTTTGAGCGCAGTCGAATGATCGTAACGCGTGTCCATAGACCATAGACTACCATAGACTTTCAGACATTATCTGAGCTTTTTTTTTGAAAATGCTGCATTTACAGAGAACAAAAACAAAACCAACACACATTCAAATACACATGAAATTTATTAAAGCAAAGAAAAACACATTGGCACAATAAATAATCGTAATTTATGGCAAGGGACAGACAAAATAAATAAACAGAACAAAACACAGAGTGAAAGACAAAAAGCGGGACCCGCAAGTGGCAACTTCCAGCCTTCTGCTCAGAGAGGGGTATCAATATCATCTACAACAACGCCCACATCCACAGATGCGCAGACCAACATCCATTGGAAAGAAGTGAATCAACACTGAAACCTAGTTCTAGACCAAGACGGGATGTGATTCTTTGTGTGTCGCTTGTACGATCAATAGACCTGTAAATGATATCTCTGTATCACTCCTACTGCCAGTACACAGCTAATAGATGTCTCTGTTTCACTCCTATTGACAGTAGGCAGCTAATAGATGTCTTTGAATCACCCCTACTGCCTGTACACAGCTAATAGATGTCTTTGAATCACTCCTACTGCCTGTACACAGCTAATAGATGTCTTTGAATCACTCCTACTGCCTGTACACAGCTAATAGATGTCTTTGAATCACCCCTACTGCCTGTACACAGCTAATAGATGTCTTTGAATCACCCCTGCTGCCTGTACACAGCTAACAGATGTCTTTGAATCACTCCTAAAGCCAGTAGACAGCTAATAGTTGTCTCTGAATTACTCCTAAGCCAGTAGACAGCTATGTAATAGATGTCTTTGAATCACTCCTGCCAGCAGACAGCTAATAGATGTCTCTTTATCACTCTTATTTCCAGCAGACAGGTAATAGATGTCTTTGAATAGCTCCTACCGCCAGTACACAGCTCATAAATATCCCTATTGCATCACACTTGCTGCCAGTAGACAGCTAATAATAGATGTCTTAGAATCACTTCTGCCAGCAGACAGCTAATAGATGTCTCTGTATCACTCCTACTGCCAGCAGACAGATAGATGTCTCTGTATCACTCCTACTGCCAGTAAACCGGTAAGCGATGTCTCTGTATCACTCCTACTGCCAGTAGACCAGTAAGCGATGTCTCTGTATCACTCCTACTGCCAGTAGACCAGTAAGCGATGTCTCTGTATCACTCCTACTGCCAGCAGACAGCTAATAGATGTCTCTGTATCACTTCTTCTGCCGGCAGACAGATAGATGTCTCTGTATCACTCCTACTACCAGTAGACCGGTAAGCGATGTCTCTGTATCACTCCTACTACCAGCAGACAGCTGATAGGTGTCTCTGTATCACTTCTACTGCCAGTAGACCAGTAAGCGATGTCTCTGTATCACTCCTACAGCCAGTAGACCAGTAAGCAGTGTCTCTGTATCACTCCTACTGCCAGTAGACCGGTAAGCCATGTCTCTGTATAACTCCTACTGCCAGTAGACCGGTAATCGATGTCTCTGTGTCGTTTGTACGTCCAGCAGACAGGTAAGCAATACCTCTGTGCGTCATCGGTACGGCCAGTTTGGGAGTCCAGTTGTCCGTTTCGTCCAGTCTATAAAGGCTGGGATGCTCCATTAGGCTTGGGTCAGAAATCTGTTGGATTAAAGATGCTTTTAGTAATAATTTTACGCACTTGGCACACAAATTGGTCATTATTGAGGATTAGACGTGTAACAAGAGAGCAACATAAAAAGAAAAAGGAGAGATAAGGACGACAGGTGTTTGACAGGAAAGAAGGAGCAAACCACACCAGAGAGCCCACAAACCTTGCTCCATCAAATTGGAACTCTCTTCCCCAACCCTTGTGACACACAACATCTGAGTTTAAATTTTAAAAATCTTTAAAGACACATTTAATGACATCATTTTTATATAACTAGATCTAGATTCAGTTTCAGTACATTGTTATGTAAATGACGATATATCCATTTCTGTATTTTGCGAATTGCGTTGTGTATTTTATTTTATCATATATAATACATGTGTATGTACTCATTTTGAAACGATGTCTATGTGTGTGTGTTTGGCATGCATGTGTGTGTGCACAAGTGTGCGTGAGTGTGCGAGAGTGTGTGTCTATGAGTGTGTGTGTGTGTGTGCGTGTGTGTGCGTGTGTGTGTTGCGTGCGTGAATATTGTTCGTACATGCATTTATGTAAAGCGCCTAGAGCTGCGTTTACACGGGAGTGGGCGCTATAGAAATGATCTTCATTATTATTATTATTAAACCACCGGCTGTAGTAAAGAGAAGCAATTCGTCACAACAGCAATTTGTTGGAGTAGGGACAAAGTAAGACAGACAGAAACAACAGTGGAAAACAAAAGAAAAATCATCTCCCAAAGATGCCATTAAAACACTAAGCAGTCAAAATATATAACTAAATGACAAAATGAGCCACACGTGGCATTTTGACAATATACAAGTAATACTATTGATATCAGATTAAATGAGAAAATAGTATTAATCTAACTTCTTTGGTTCCAAAGTTAGAGAGACAAAAACAAAACATCTTGGAACAGCTGAGCGAGACAAACAAAGCATTGTCACTACACAAATAGCAGTTGTTACCTACCTATGACAATGAAGCATTTGTTCCCTTGTACCCCTGTCCGGACTAACATCTGGTCCTCTTGCTTGTCATGGGAGTACCTCCAGGACTCCTGAGGGGGCAGACAGTTGAGTAATTAGAGTAAAGAGAAGAACAATGACTCTATAACTGTCATTTTGAGCAGGAAAAAAGCAAATCAGACAGACAGAAACATAAGAAAGAAAGAACAGAAGTAGGGCCAAACACTGGAATCCTCCAACCACATACAGTAAGTTTAAGTAAAGAGATGCACATCTGTACAGTAATGGCTATTTAGTGTAGGGAAAAAAACCCAGACAGACAGATGGAGAGAATCATAAGAAGGAAAGTAAAGAAAAACCTACCGGTGGCGCCCTCTTACCACCTACATCTCCCACCTGAGCAGTCAGATTACGATTGTGTGGGTATGTGTGTGTAACTATGGTTCAGGTTCTAGTTTAGTTTTAGCAGTTTTACGACACTTACAGCACCTTAAGATAATATAAGTGCTGAAGATAGAGGTGTTACAAGAGAGTAACAAACACAAAAAAGAAAGCAAGGAGATAAGGACAACGACAGATATTTGATAGGAAAGAAGGAGTAAACCACACCAGACCACTTGTCAACCTGTTGAGCCACCCATGGTTCAGGTTCAAAGTCCCTCTCGACACCAAAACATTATTCAGAAACGGAACCTTCAGAACACTTTGTCCATCATCAATATAGGATCATGCTAAATGGATAGACAGTCTTACCCCCCCCCCCCAAAAAAAAAGAAGAAAATCCCAACTACTCAAACAGAAAAACACTGAAATGAGGATTAGAAACAAGGGTCATTAACTCCATGGCTCAACATTATAACAACTCAGCTGCTAACCACACATCCTTGTCTATGTGTGAGTATATATGGTTAAAAATATTAACAGACAAATACAGCCCTGCACAGATAAAGTACATATCCTTGATCTATATGAGAAGTAAACATTCTTGAAAGACAAGGGCAAAGACAGTTACCTTTGTAGGGTTGTTCGTTTGAGAACTTTGCGGATGTCGATCATGGTACTGTCACTGAGAAAGAGAAGAAACAACACAATTATTATAAGTTCTTACACAGGGTATCCATAATGGCTGAATACATTGGCAAAACAAATATTTTCAAGAAATGCAGTATAAATTGTCTTAGACTGACACCCACTGTCGAAAAGAAGGGAGGTTGACGTTTCGCCGATATTACGTCACATAGTTTACCTGAGGAAAAAAAGAATGATCGTTTCGCCGCAAATTGAATTCGATTACAACTAGATTTAATTTAGTACGTTGTGGTGTCTTAAGGACAGAATTTAAAAAGCTTGAAGCTCACGTACTTGACGAATTTCTCGATGTTGATTTGCCATTGTACACAGGGCCTGTTAAGGGCTGTTTGCAATTTGCTGCGTTCAGTTTTAACTTTGTTAGTCGCTGATGGTCGATGAATTTTCTTGGGAACAAGAATATGTTTTGGAAGTAGGACTTTAGGCAGGATAGGTTTATATAATGTCATGACAGTGAAGATAAAAATGTGATGTCTCAGATATAAAGTTGTTGAAAAACCCCAAAGCTGTTCAAACTGGGCTGCCATTCTTCACGTGAAAGAGTGGGAATGACCAAGAACGAGACCAGTACTTACAATGAAGGGAGAAAGGGAGAGATTGAGTCATTATAACAGTTTACCCCTCCCGAGTTCTCATTGACACAGTAGGCCTAGGAGCGTTTACAAATTTTGTTTCAGAGGCTTTCACAAATTAATTGATCTTCTATCTTGTGTTTTAGTATCTTGTATTCGAATACGATTTGCGGCGAAACAATTTCAAGACTTTGACAGGTAGTCCCGTGTTGCGTCATTGGCGGCGAAACCTAACGCGCCCGAAAAGAAAAGTGGTTGCCCCAGACAGGTGGACATCTTAGAGTAGGAAGTGGTCATTTGTACAGGTGATTGTCTTGTATAGGTGCTCATTAGAGTAAAGGGGTTAAGTGAGCAGTGAGTTCAGACTCAAGTAATGTCAAGTAAGTGTCGGTGACACTGAGTTTAGATGGGTGGTCACTGGGGTGTGTCCTTGAGGAAGACACGACAACCCTAGCTCAAAATTCAGGGCGCTGCACAGTGGTGACCAGCGATGTCATGTTTGTGAAATTGTTCTGTATTGATATAATATTGAGTATTTATGTAAGTATTTGAGCATGCATTTATGTATGCCTGTATTTAAAATTAATGTATTTATGTATACCATGTGTGTAATATAATGTATGTTTGCCATTGTAAACCAAATAGCTCTTCTAGGATCAATAAAACTGAATTTGTTATTTTTAAAAACATTTTATTAGAGCAGTTTCAGGTGTAAATATAAAATGTTCAGAAAAAAAGTCTGAACACTGTTCCGAAAAATCAGTCTCCAGACAAAGTGCTATTGTGCAAACTCGAGCCATTACAGCAGACAACATTTGAGATTGACAACTTACCCAGAGTTCTCCTTCTCCTTCCGACTCACGTCATCTTCAACGCAGTCACCATGACTCTTGACGACGTGCGATGTTTTCCTCAGCGACACACGCTGTAGCGCTGCCAGAGTGACTACAGGCTGATTGCTGGGCGCAAGCGGCTGAAGACAAAACAGATGGGATTTATGAGCTGCAGAAGAAATTTTCATACGGTAAAACCTTCTCATAAAGATTATTTCAAAAACCCCATTCAACAACTTTGGTGGAAAGTCTACGTTAAGCAGAACTGCCGACCCCTTCATGATCAGACCTATGAACTTTCCTCGGAATCCTAAAAAATGTTGAGTTTCACAGTGGAATCCTGTTATAACGAGAGGGAGGGGACAGGAGCAAAATGTCCGTTATAGCAGGATTCTCGCTATAAGGGATCCAGTAATAAATTCAAGGGAAACTGTAAAGTAGGCCTAATCTATGAGATTGGTGTTCTGTTTATTTCCTTTTGCTATCTCTCAAATGATGATTTGTGAGGCAGCGTGGTGGAATCAGGCTCTCGTCAAAATAATCAAAGTGAAGAAACTTGCATTTTTCCGCAGGTTTGTGGTTTTTTATTGAATTTTTGTTTTTTGGCTCAACATCTTTCATGCCCATTAAAGAACTCATTTCTGTGTGAATTTTTCTGAAAAACGTTGATTAAAGGCACAAAAAATGTAAATTTTCTGTTACCACGGACTCTTAAGCTAAGTAAATGACTAACCTTTGGCGGCCGTTTTCTCATTAATTTTACCTCTGAAAACAGGTGACCCCCACCTCCTTTTTTCCCAAATATCTCGACTTGTATTCAAGATAAATGGATATCTTTTTCATCCAAATAAAGACAAGAAAACAAGCTTTAAGATGATACCAATAACTCTACATGCCTTAAAATTGACAAGAGCCTGATTCCACCACGCTGCCTCACATTTTGTTTCAACATGACCTCTAGGTCTTACTTGATCAAAAATTTAATCAGGTTTCTTTTTCTAGCTCTAGGTCTAGCGATGTGGACTGACAGCTCGGCATTGACGATCAGAAAGAAAGGGCTCTGGGCTAGGCGGTTATATGACCGCCTAGGCTCTGGGCTAACTCGCCCGCTGTGTTTACCCCCACCCTAGGCGGTCATATAATCAGGCCACCTGCGCGCTACTGACCTAGATTCCTTGTGGGCTTACACACCCGTGTAGTAGGCCCACAACCTTGTAGATCATTAGTAGTGATAAGCCTTTGCAGGGTGCGGCGGTCAGTTTGAATTGCTGTTTGCTCATGCTCTGACATTGGATTATTTCTGCCTAATGCAGTTTGCTTTTCAAGTCATCTGGATTATGCGAATATTTTCTACATCATTGTGTGTGTGTTGGGGAACAGAAGTGGTGACTAATTAATTAATTAATTAAGGTGACCAACAGTTTTGAGATCGCAAATTTGAAGTGCTGTTTGGCTGCACTGTATACCTACTGTTCATTTTCAGATTCTTCATCGCCATCGGACTGAGTGCCTGGATTCTTTTAGTTGAGGCCTAATGCAGTTGGGTTTTTTTTTCAAATCATCTGGATTGTGTGAATATCAAATATCTCTTCCATCAGTGTACGTGTTTAGATTAAACCTACAGTGAAGTTTTGGCCGTGCAAGTTTAATTCATATCTCTGTCTAGGGGCCCACCCCTGTTAGGTAGGGAAACGTATACGGATCATAATTATGGGGGGGCTCCTTTGTGTTTTTCCCGGCCTGCTTTGTATATTAATATCTGCTGTTCTTTCACAGTGCTTACATGCTTCTCTTCTAGGCCTATTTATTGCTTTCATCATGTGTGGTTATGACTGTTGGACTGTGACTGACACTTTCAAAATAAACTGAAGGAATAAGAACAACAATGGGAA